TCATTATGTGAAATTATACTGACTGTTCTAATCATTATGTGAAATTATACTGACTGTTCTAATCATTATGTGAAATTATTCTGACTGTTCTAATCATTATGTGAAATTATTCTGACTGTTCTAATCATTGTGTTATTTTATTATAATTATTGGAGTCATTATTGTGTTTATTTTTCTGCCAGACATGTATTGATAACACAACTGGCCGTAAATGTGGAAGATGCAAGAAGGGTTTTTATGGAAATGCAAAAATAGGGCTACCTGATGACTGTAAACCTTGTGCATGTCCCTTTGAGGATGCTAAAAATAATTTGTCTCCTTGTGAGACTGTTATAGATCCTCAAGGTAGTATAGACTATGTATGTGCCACTTGTCCTGAAGGCTATGAAGGAAAGAAATGTGAAAGGTACTTACGTTTCTTATTTTGTAATCCATTTAGTGGTTTTAGTCATGCCTGGCTCTTTTTTGGTTACGCTTCATGTCATCAGTAGGCTTAATAAGTTTTAAAGTTTCAGAAGATAGCTACACAACAGGGTAGAAGATAGTTACTTGTAAATCATTCCATTTTTAAATATGCTATCTTAACATATTAACAAAAAAAAATGTCTTGTCATTTACTTACTATTGCAACAAATTTACTAAGTTTAACTTTTGTTTTTTAAAGGTGTGTTGATGGATTCTTTGGAAATCCCCTTGTTCCTGGGAGTATATGCCAGCCCTGTGATTGTAATGGTAATGTGGAGAGAAAACCTGGATTCTGTGACCGCTTTACAGGACAATGTCTGAAGTGTCTGTATAACACACGTGGCTGGAATTGTGAGGAATGCTTAGAGGGGCATTATGGAGATGCATTTAAGCACAGTTGTAAACGTAAGTGTTTGTGAAATGCAGTGTCATTTTCTATGAATTTTTATTTGGAAGACAGAAGAGGCTGAATAGTTTGGGAGCAAAAAGGGCAGGGTTATCAGAAGTGTGGGTCAAGTTTTATTAAATAAAAAAACACAATGACGTTATGCCCTCTATGCAGCTGAATGCTGCTGTTTACCAATAGACATCCCCCATTTGATTGGAGGTGCTTCTTTTGGTTCAAGTAACATAACATGGGGTAGCCCAAAAAATTAACTCTTTCTTGTCAGTGGGTGTCAAAATGCAGGAAGAATTTTAACAATTGTAAAAGACCAAATCCTGATATTTTGGATGAGGGCAATGCTGGGAGGTAGAGCTCTTCAGTGGGTGTATGTTCCTACACCACCTCAGTGGATGTGCTATTGCTGAAACATAATCTTAACATTAGACATATATTTGAATATAATAATAGAAAACAACTATTCTGTCTACTACAAAGGTATATCCATGTCGCAAAAGCCAGATAAATCATGTTGCCTTGTTCTAAAATAGTCTTATAATCAAATTAGAAATAGGAAAATGTGTCGGCTGATATCACTTCTTATCAACACTTTCAGCATGCGAGTGTCATCCCTTTGGTTCTGAAATACCATTATGTGAACCAAAAAATGGTCAGTGTCGATGTAAGGTGAACTTCATTGGAAGACAGTGTGATAGCTGTGTTGTAAGTTTTATTTCTTAATTATAATAATAATGGAACTTACATTAAAACTAATTGTTAGAAACTTTGCCATGGTACTAATGAAAGCTTACTTCAAGTATACTAATTGAACATGTAAGATTTTTTTCATTTAGTTATTAAAATTATGTTTGGTTGTTGGAACAATGTCATAAATCTCTCCAAAGTTAAATAACCCCCACAAAGTATTTTATAAACATTTCAGAAAGTGTTAAAAACAAAAGGAGAAATGTACAGAGGTATATTTTATTATGCTTCAATCCTGTCTTGAAAACTATTAACTAATTCAAATAAGAAAATCATTTTCCTCTATTATTTTTTGATCAATTTAGAAATATTGCCCATGAAATAATTATGTGTAACTCAATGTATGAAGTTTACGAGAATAAAACCTTCTTAAATTTATCCAATTTAAAATGAAAAACATTTTAAAACAAGTTATAGTTTTCTGATGTAGTAAAATGTTGTTAGAATAAAGCTAACGTTAGAAATATGTGTGCATGTCTGTTAAACTTGAGATTGTTTTGGGTTTCAGGAAGGATATGGCAACATGAAAGAAGGCTGTACACCCTGTCATTGTAACAAAATGGGCTCTAAATCAGATCAGTGTGATTTTATAACTGGTCATTGTTATTGCAAGCCAGGTGTCTTTGGAGTCCACTGTGATAGGTGTTTAGATGGATATTATGGATTCTCCATATCAGGCTGCAAATGTATGAAACATTTGATTCTTTTTTACAGAATTTAACTTTTACTCTTTGGAAAATATGCTATATAACAATGTTCCTGTTTTTTTGAGCAACATGAAGTCAAGAAAGGAGTTTTTTTATTTCTAAGTAGCTTTGTGACATCAGTCATACTTCTTCTTGTGGGTTAAAATATATGGGACACACACTTTTTGCTTATGTCTTCATAGAGTTACACAATTTCCTGAACTATAAATTTGTTTTTTGTTCAAACTAATAGTTAACTGTAAATAAAGTGTCAAAATGATAAAGAAATTAAGGTAAAAAGTAAAACAAAAGCCTTTAAACTGGTTATTTTAATTTTGTGTTTTTCTCCTGAACTCCTCCTATTTTGGCTCCCCCACGCATCAAAATAGGTTCAATCTGCTACTCTAATATTCAATTAAATCCTTATGGGTTCAAGAAGCTGTTTTTATTGTTTTATAGCTGTTATTATATTTTTGATGAAATGTGCTTGTTGTTTTTCTTACTGTAATGTAACATTATATAAAAAAATTTCATATATGGTCAATTTATATATGATTTAACTATCAATTACTCGTTTGAAAAGTAATATTTTTAAAAATATGTATTAGTAACTGAAACATTTTTTTTTGTTTGGTAACCAATACTCTATCTCTAGTGAAAGGCTGTTTGTGTCTGTATGAATTTATTTATAATTTTTATCTGCTGTTATCTTCATTTTTGTTCTTTTCATACAGATTTTTTTTGCTCATTTTGTAAAGTTAGTAACCAAAATAGTCTTTAATTTCTTGCATATGAAGGGTGTGGGTGTGACCCAAATGGATCAGAGAATCCCCAATGTGAAGAGATTGAAGGAAACTGTCAGTGCAAACCCCATGTTATTGGTAGAACTTGTGACAAGTGCCAGGTATGTGATAAATGCATGTGGTATTGTTGGTTGGTAGAATAGGTTTTTAAAATAAAATCTAATATACTGTCTTTGGTTTTCATTATTGCTGAAGTAAATTTTTCTGACAATTTTTGATCTGGTATGATGCTGCTAAACATTTTCAATTCTAAGTGCATTAGAAAAGTAACAGTCAGTTCTATTGTTCATTTCAACGAACCAGACAAAACCTTGGTTATGACAGGTGCTGCTGTCTGACTACTTACCCTCTTGTCAGAAGTTTAAAATTAGGGAGGGGTATACCTAACTCTCAGGGGTCTCTAACCCACGTTTAGTCAACATAAACGTAAGGTGCTGCTCAGGCTGAAAAATTCCAATTCAAAAAATT